TATATATATATATATATATATATATATATATATATATATATATATATATGCATGATTGTATGTATTTATATGGATATGCGCATGAAAATTTATATGTGCTAACTCAGCAAAAATATAAAAATTTCTCAAAACTAACAGAAAAAATATACCTCTGCATGATCCCGCGCAATATACTTCCAGGTAATCGTTGATGCTCTCTTATTAAATCATGTACCTCTGCTTTCACAGTTTTTTTGACGTCTTCTGGATTCATGTCAGAAGAAAAATAGACAGGTCTGCCCAGATGCGTTCTGGAAGCAGCTGAGGAGTAAGCATATTATGAAAAGAGCTCAAGAAAGGTATAAAAAAGCATATTAAAACGTAAACTGACCAAGTTATAAACTGGAAAATCGCTACATAACTATGAAGTGGACTACTAATAAAATCATCTGTCGAGGAGTGTACTAACGTCCGTTCGTAATCCTGCAGGAGAAAGCTCAACAATAAGGACAAAGTCATTGAACTCCAGAAACATACATCATTTTAACTGGGAAACCACCGTATACTGGGCAAAGTGGTAATCGCGTTTTTTCATAAATCCATCGAAAAACTTCTGAAATGCACATGAATTACCGATTATTGGTCTAATAAAATTTTCATATGCCCTAAGAAATAGTTAACTTGAAATTGGAAGATGTAAAAATATTTACTTCGTCCACAACGCGGAGTACGAAAAGCATCACGACAATTTTCGGTAAACATCGGAATTACGGGCTAAAATAGTATAATAAAAGGGTAAGAGTGAGAGGAAAAAGCAAAGAGGATAAATAAACAATTTACATTTAGTTGTGAAAGTTTGATTACAATCCATCAATTAAATGCTGCTAAACTCCATTTCTTTCGAAAAATTCAAGAAAGTATGATCTAAAAGCTAACTGTTCCTGGACAACCAATGATGACTTTTGCAAAGCCTAAACGACGAGCCCACATAATATTATAACGAGTGGGGTCAGAAAACAAGGCTTCACGAACACCACCGGGAGCAATGCATAGCAAATGGCCGTCCTTCAACCGTGCCATACAATCGTCTACCGTTCCAGGAGTTATGTAAAAAACCTTACAGATCATCCCCCATCCTGAAAAGAATGCACTGAATTTTAAATACATCAAGTCAAGATTACGTTTTCAAATATATTAAGCCAAGACTAAGTTTACAGAACTCGAGTAGGGTTTGTTACTTGTTATAAATTTTACTGCGATAAAGCTGAAGTATAAGAGGAACGGAAAGTTGTGAAGACATTCCGATCAGAAAGAAGAAAATGAGGAATAAATAAAATACCGGGCATTTTGAAGATGAATTTATCACCAACACAGTGAAGAGTACGTTTCTTATGAAGCATACACTTCGCAATAACATAATATACGTCTATTGGTAAAGTTCCGTGGTAATATACAAAAAGAGCAGAACCTTCGTTAGGCACATTTTCCAAACCTTTTATTTCATAACCTGTAAAAATGAATTACTGGTCGAAATGAATAAAAAAGATCTAAATAAAATCCAGTGTTTTTAAACCACTGCAGACTACACTTGGTTTGAATGATTCCACGTTTGTTAATTTGTGCTCTTTTCTATCAAGTGTTATACTGTAGTAAAAACTTTCGAGCTCTGCTGGATTATAAATTATACGAAACAAAAGGAGATATATCACCTCGAATTATTTACTATCAGACGATGATCAGCATTACTAATGCACTCAAGTATGGCTATTGCATACTTGATAAGTGAATGATATTCACTCAAATACTGGCAAAAATCTACGGAATATATTTAAACCTATTCATTTATTGCAGCAAAATAAAATTTTCTATTAAAATATTTTCCAGTAATTTACCGTGCCAAACATATCCCACTGCATCCCAGAAGGATGCAATACTGATGCGTGCACCATCCCACAAACTACTAGCGTAAGCCTCTCGAATACGATTCCGCAAGCCATAAATATGAAGAAAAATGACACAACCATATATAAAAAATAGAAGAAGAACCGGTAATACGAAAGCGATTAACAGTGGCAGGAAGAGCCAAGTAAGATACTGAAGTAAGATCTTTAAAGAAGCCAATTTATGTACACTTCAAATGAAAACAGAAGGAACTTCCGTATAAGCATTTAAAATAAGGGATATGAAAAATGCGTGTTAAGCTTTTTATTCTAAAAAATGAAAATGTTAAGCAGATTCAGTTCCCTTTTTCAACGAATTCCAGAAAAAGACTGTAGAAAACTCGAAATCTAGCACATAGGATATCCTAACGCACCTCCAAATAATCCCAATCAACATAATCAATTGCCCATGAAATCCATAATAATAAAACTTCGACATACGGTTGCAACCATGAAGGCCACTGCATATTTTTCAATGATAAAAGAGTACTCCTAATCCACATGGATTTCAAAAAATTATTTGTTCCTGAAAGATTAAAATACAAACATAAACAGAGATAACAAAGATGAGATCACTGAAAAATTAAATCAGGATATAGTTTTATTACTGAGCATCATCCAAAAATACAATTATAAATGCCTCCTCATAGGTACACTTAGAAATGTATGCTCATATATGTAGTAAGCATTGCAAAACCTATGAATGTGAAGGAAAGATACAATGACAATTGCACATTTCTGAGAATAGAACGAAACCTGCAACGCTGTTTAAGAAAATATTTCTAAGATGATCACGTTAACCAGTTCTCATTCCCAATAAAATCTACAGAAGATTTAAAAAATACAATGTGGTGTAAACTACATAGTGACCACTCAACAAACAAGACGCACTTGAATTTCGTTTCCTAAACTCTATATCTATTCAAAAAAAAAAGAAA